CCCCCCCAGCCCGCTCCCCAGCGTAGCCAGTGATTCGGCAACACCTGTGTCCTCCCGCAGCTGTGTTCTGAACGGCTGCCCTGGGACACAGATCACGGGCGGTCGAGCTCCCCGGCGTCCCCTGCCCGGTTGTCGTGTCCTTGCTGCGTTGTGTGGGGGTACCACGGCCTGTCCCCGGGTGGCTCCCCCTGTGCTCAGTGTCACGATGAGCTCTGCCGAGGACATCTGCAAACGAGTTTTGTGCAGACCCGTGTTTTCCTTCGTTTCTCTCAGGTTCGTACCGAACGTGGAAATACTGGGTTTCGTGGGAGATGCACACGTCACGTTTGAAAAAACTGCCAGACTGTTTTCCAAAGTGGTTGGGGCGTTTTACATCCCGCACGGGAGGACCCAGGGCTCTGGTTCCTGCATTTCCTGCACAGCCCTGGGTATCGCCAGGGATTCTTAACACGCTTTCTGGAACGTGGGCGTGTTGGGTCTCACTGCTTCCTCGTCCTGTCCTGTTTCCAGTAGGCTCCGCACCCAGCTGGGAGCCCAGTGTGGGGCTTAAAGTCACAATCCTGAGATCAAGACCTGAGCCGGAATCCAGAGTCAGACACTTACCTGACTGACCACCCCCCCCCAGGAGCCCCACCGTGGTTTTCATACATGCTTCCTAAAACCTAACGGTGTTGAGCATCTCTCCATAGGCGGTTTGTTGGTTTCTTTCTTTTTGTTTTGGGTTGTACGTCTTTGCTGACGTGTTGATTCAAATCTTTTTCCTGTTTTCTCTTCGTTAGGCTCTGAGTTGTATTATTGTTAGTGTTCTCTGTGTGTGTGTATACTACTCCCGTAAGAGACTGAGGATTTGCAAAGTCTGCAGCCCTGTGACTTTCTCTTTTTACTCTTGTCTTTGAAGCAGAAAAGTTTGTAATGTTCGCGAACTACAATTTATCGATTATTTTCTTTTTGTCCCGAAAAGGGCATACCGTAGTCTAAGCACTCTTTGCGAGACTCGGCTCAAAAAGATTTTGTCCCGTTTCTGTTAGAAGTTTCATAGATTTTTCTTTTATTTATTTATTTTTTTTTCAATTTTTTTTTTCAACATTTATTTATTTTTTTGGGACAGAGAG